AAGAATCCCAAAGGTCAGAAATGTGCATGAAGGGACTTCACATTTGATGCCAAATATATTCCTAAATGAAATTTCTATTTCAAATAATAACCTTCACCATGCCAGACATATCGGAGAAGTTATGTTGGTATACAGTAAATGCAACATATAAACATAAATGATATTTTTGATGACATTACCATGAATGTGTTTTTCTCAAAAGTATTTTATTTTAAAAATTTAATAAAAAGTGTTTTAGATACACACTTTAATTTCCATTCTTTAGCTTTAAAAAAAGAAAAGAAAAAATACAGCAAAATGTAATGATAGATATGCTGCTTATTTGACATTATATTCCATAAAATTGGACTTGGTAATCATGTAACGATATTTTAAGTACAAAAGGAATTGCATTTTAAGAAAAAGCTGTTTTAATACAATACAAACTTTCATATATTTGAAAAACTACTGCAAGGCAGGATAATGAAAATTCAAGAGTTACTGTTATCACTAATGCATAGAGCCCCAGTAAATTCAGTTGTATCACACTTTGTATGACTGCAAACTCATTTGCTTAAATAGTGGCTCTTCACCTGAAATGTCCCTTAATATACGAACATAAAACCTGACATTTTATTTTGAATTGTGTTAATTCTAAGCTTTTCAGAACTGATTCAAATTTTCACTTCATTAAGATCTCTTACAAAATATTCATCAATATCTCTTGGGACACTTTTAATTCCAAATCAATTAAAAGGATTAAAAAACACAGCAACATTTTTCCAAGTTGCATCCAGAAGTCCCAAATCTTTACTGAAAGAAAAATATATTTGACAATATTAGGTTTGCTATGTTGTGTTTATGTTTCTAAGCACTGGCATTAACACTTATGTTATAGCAGCATATTATAGCCCTGAAGCTTCAGAGGAATCCCACTGAAATAAAAACAGTACTGAAAGGGAAGAAGCCAGATTGTTCATTTCATTGTTTTTACATTGCTGCATTCTTTGATAATTCCTAGATTTACCATACAATCATGTGGGCAACAGAATAGTTTCCAACATAAGAAGCAAACTTTTTCAAACAATTATGTAATATCTGGGTCACGAGTGTGCACAATACACTGTACTGGCCAACAGCCAGAGATGTTTAAGTTTGTAAATACTTTGAATTTTCAGTATGTCAGCATAAATTAAGACATAAAACATGATCTGCTCTCTGCACAAATCCTACAACTAGATGAAGAGAATATAATTAAACAAATGAGTAAAAAACATAACCCTTCTTCATATTTGGTTCATGCATGGTAAAAATATGTGAACCTTTGCTTTTATTAAATGGTGTGCAATTGCCCCTCACCTCTTGGGGCAGCAATAACTGCAACTAAATATTTCCAGCAACTGTTACTAAGTCCTGCTTATCTTAGAGAAATTTTAGCCATTCCTCCTTATAGAGCAGCTTCAGTTCAGGGATGCTGGTGAGCTTTCTTATATGAACTGACCGATCCCTGTTTCTATTGGCTTATGGTCAGGACTTTGATTTAGCCATTCCAAAATATTAACTTTCTTCTGCTTTAATCATTCTTTGTCATACAGTTTGTATATTTTGGGTCGTGGTCTTCCCAAATGACCCACATACACTTGAGCTTTAGTTCACAGACATTTCCCTGTATAACTGCTGATACAATTCTAATTCAATCAATGGCAGGGCATCCTAGGCCAGACACAGAAAAACAGGCCCATGATACTGCCACATTTCAGATGGGATGTTTTAATGCTGGAATCCCATCCCACATTTTATTCAAGTCAGAAAATTCTAGTTCAGTCTCATCTATCCACAGAACATTCCTCCAATAATCTTCTAGCTTATCCACATGGCCTTTTGCAAACTGTAGATGGGCAGCAATGCTCTTTTGGAGAGTAGTGGATTTCTCCTAGCATCACTGTAATCAGTACTCGCTTGATGGAAGTCTCGTAGGTATTGACATTTATCTGTGCAAAAGAGGCCTTTAGTTCCTTCAATGTTAGCCTGAGGTTCTATGAGACCACCAAGAATATTACAAGCCTTGCTCTGCGATTTTGATTGATTGACCACTTCTGGAGAGGGTAATAATGGTGTTGAATTGCCTTCATTTGTATGCTATCTGTCTGACAATGGACTTGTGGAATCCAAACACTCTAGAGATACGTAAAACTTTCCAGCCTAATAAGCAACAACTTGTTTTTCAAAGGTCCACAGAAATCTCTTTTGTTCAAGCTATAACACACTTCCACAGAGCTGTGCTGAAAAGATCAGCCTTTGACAGGGAATATTCAGAATTCTGTACTTTAAATAAGGCAAGACCTCCCACACTCACACCTGATTAGCATCTCATTGATTGAAACACTGGACTGTAATTCCCCCTTCAAATAAACTGATAGTTCTAGAGGTTCACACACTTCTGTTACCCAATAATATGTAGCTTTGGATCATTTTGCTCAATAAATGAACAAGTATCATGTTTTTGACTCATCTGTTTAACTGGGTTTTTTTCTAGTTTTAGGATTTGTGTGAAGAACAGATCACATTTTAGGTCCCATTTATGCAGAAATATTGGAAGTTCAAGATTCACAAACTCTGAAGCTATGTAACACATTCCACTTAAGTTCCACCACAAAATCCGCTGTACTTTGTTTATTTAGATTTCATATTTCTATATAGCCCATCTCCCTCAAAGAGGGACTCTAGATGCCTCTCAATCACAAAAAGTCATTCTCGAACACTAATATATAGTCCAAAGTGGGCTAGAAGTATATAAAGAAACGTTGAAAAACAAAATTTTTGACAAGGCTATGTTCATATAGAAATCAAGGATAATATGCTTGGACCTGAACCTATATAGCAGACTGTGCCCTGAGAATTCAAATTACTCTAGTCAGAATTTGGAATTTAGATTCAAAATAAAGAAGCAAAACCAGAATAACATATGCACTTGGCAAGATTTATAATTAAGACAAAGAGCCTTTATTTTGCTTTTAAGTACAATCTGAAACATTGGAGAACTGATGCAAATGGCCAGTCATTTTACCTATTGGCCCAGATTAGGTCTCCTTGTTCCGTGTATACTATACTGGAAAACAGATAGCATAATAATTTTGAATTTTCCCTTGATTTTTTTCCAAAATTGTAAAGATTGCTTTATAGAACGTCTGTCCCCTGGCCTTTTATTTTATTAACAGTTATAGTCATTCAAATAAATATTTCATAAAAAATAAAACCAAGTGTGTTTATACAATGCAGTCTAATTTATTCCAACAAAGTTATATTTGGGGATAAAAGTTTTAAGGATTTGCACATTGCAGGAGATGAAAAATTAGCGCTGGGCAAAGTTTAAAATTTGATTTCAAAAAGTGCTTCAGAATACACAGCAGCATGAACTAAGCCCGTTGGCAACAATTTAAAGCAATTACATCTTTTCCTGGGATCAGATAGCAATTGCATGGTCCTAGAAAAAGATACAGATAGTTTATATAGCTGCTGAAATGTACACTTGTGCCATTACACATCCTGAAGAATCTTTTTGGAATTAAATCTCTAGTACAGTGGTTCTCAACCTGTGGGTCGGGACCCCATTTGGGGTCGAACGACCATTTCACAGGGGTCGCCAAACAACGCAGTCCGCCATTTTTTCCCCCTTTTCCTTAGCTGTGCTACTCCCTTTTATTCTATTGGCTTTTGAAAGCCAATAGAATAGACTCTCTTGAATAGAGTCTAATTCTATTGGCTTTCAAAAGCCAATAGGAATTGTCCAGGCTGTCTCTGCCCTGCTGAGCCCGCCAAAAGTCCCATTCTGCAAACAGTGCTGCACCAGTTGAGTAGTCCTCGACTTACGACCAGTTGAGTAGTCCTCGACTTACGACCGGTTGGGGGTCGCGGCATTAAAAAGGTTGAGAACCACTGCTCTAGTAGAACATGTTCCTAATATAAAATTTTTGAAAGGTTGATGAATGGAAGAACTGCTAGCCATAAAAATGGGGGAAAAAATGGACCCATTGCAGTTATTTTGCTGCACAATAATATAATTTCAAAGGTCATGTACATAATTTTTAGGAACTATCAAATCTACTGAGGTGTGCAGCTTTTTGTATTAATACCTGATTTTAATATCCAGTCAAAATTTGGAAACAACTTATTAATACAGTGCAAGATGTTGTCACTGGAATAAAGTTCAAATCATCATCACAATTATTAAACACCATGTTTTGTTCCTGGTAAATTCAAAAGAAATTAGCATTCAAGTCTAATCACTTATACTGGGAGAAAAGTATGTGGGTAAATTTTTGCAGTTTTACAGAATGGTGTGAAAATACACCCAACTGCCTTATCATCTTGAAACATTATCCTCAACAAGAAAGATACAGAAAGGTTTAGAAATCTTGTCTTGTTGTGTTTCTAGTACTATGTTCAATAATTAAAAAATAGAAAATCTATATAGAAAATCTTTATACTTTCTTCACATGGAATAAGTCTTCTTTAAATTTATTTTGTACAAAACATTACATATTGCCCTTTCACTCCATAATTTAGTTGTCACACTACATCTGCAATTTGATGCAAAGCCAGCAGATAGTCCTATGTTAGCAATGCATCATAAGGACAAGAGCACAGCACAGAATCAACTAGTACAGTGTTTCTCAACCTTGAGAATTTTAAGGCATGTGGACTTCAACTCCCAGAATTCCACAGCCAGCATTGCTGGCTGTGGAATTCTGGGAGTTGAAGTCCACATGCCTTAAATTTGTCAAGGTTGAGAAACACTGAACTAGTACATCATAAAAGCTGAAAAAGAAAATGATCCTGTCTCTTTGTTTCGAAAGCATGATGTAGCTTGACGTCTAGATTAAGTCTAATCAAGGTTGGTTATCTCTCTTACAACAGAGAAGTAATGTACGCATTATGGCACTGGCTCACCGTATTCAGACTAGTTTGTACACAAATATATAATACACAAGTACATCGTATACATGGTGAAATGTTTTTTGTTTCATCTACATCAGAATTGAGTGTTGTTTTGTTCCTTAAAGAAGGAAAAATGTGGGAAAGAGTGCTGGAGGAAGTCCTGCTTAATTTGTTGCATATGGCCAAACGTGTTATAAAATGAAGTGCATGCTACTCAGAAACTAAATGGACTATTCCGATAACTAAATCAGATTAACTCAGATGCCAGAATCTATCCAAATATTTGCCCACAGGCAAATCAAAAGATTCAAACTATTTTCTTTTGTTGTTATTTATACAATTACAAGTCATATTAATCACCTTGGCATTTTTCCAAAAGAGGGGGGTACACTGTAAAAAGAATTGCACTGTACTTTTATTTTGGAAGTATTTATCAAACCATATGTGCAGATACTTGAGATGATGACAGTGTTAAGCTTCCTAGGGACCTAGAGTCAAAGAAATTTTGCTGCCCCCCACTGCTAAGTAAGTGCACTCCTTCTACAGGGGGCAACATCTGCCGATCAGTCATGGTTCCACTTGGTGATGACCCCAAGAAAGTTCCTTGGGAAGAAACAATTTTCTCAGGACTTGCAGCCAGTTTGGGGGAGGTGGAGAAGTTGTATCCATACAGAGCACAAGGGCTATGCAGCCTGAAAGCGTTGTAAGAGTTCGGATGGGCTTGATTTGCTGGAAAGGCATTGCTAGATGGAGGAGGTATAATGTACTGGAGTTGTGGAGACATCCCTGAAATTTGCATCGATAATCCCGCCTGCGGACAACTGAATGCATCACCGTCACTACCTGCCACAGGCATATTCACAGCTGAACCGTTTGGTACGCCAACGTAAGAGGGGGTTCCTGGAGTGGCAAAGGTCTCACTGGTTTGATTTGCAAGCCTGTTGTAGGTTTCAGTCAAGGAAGTACTGTACCTGTTAAGGGTTAGACCTGAGCGAGCACAGGCCGTATAGTCAGCCGAAGCTAGGCTGCAGAACTGGCTAGTATTGGGAGTGAGATGAAAAGCAGGAGAAGAACAAGGTGACCCAGGAAGGAGATGTGGATGAGTAGATGGTACCCCATTGGCAGATCCTTGGAGCAAACTGGAAGAACTAGTGTTTCCTGAAAGGAAATATCAGAATATTAAAGAAAGGCATTTATCTATTACTGTTGCATTTTGCCCTAAAGTAGCCAAAGTTAGATTATATCAGGTTAGCACAAAAAATGGCTTTTTTTTGTTGCTACCGTAATCAAAAATTAACAGACTAGTGGTTCAATTGCTTCAAGATTGCAATATAGCATCTACTGCCACATCTGGGGACAGCAAGCTAACATTAAATGCAAGAATGTAACTTTTCCTTCAATAGGTAGTAATGACAGGGCAGAATGGAGTGGGAAGAATTCTGCTGCCCCTTTTATACTCCTCAGACTTTGCCATCTTACATCAGCTTCCCACTTTATAATAGAGGTTATATTAAAATTGTTTGCGATTCTTAGTTAAAAACAGTTCTAAAGAAAGAATTTTCTTTATATAGTTGGTGAATAAAATTATATATTATAGCTCAAAATTTTATTTATCATGGGCATTAATTTCCTGTTGTACCTCATGTATTTTACAGAATAATCTTCAAACGGCATTACAAGTAGAAGGGGGAAGAAGTAATGAAACATGCATTGCAATGTCAAGACCCAAACTCTATAAACAAGTGAGATGGGTGGTGTAGAAATTTAATAAAAATAAAAATCTAGAAAATGAGAGTTGGGAATTAAATAAATGCAACATTCATGTTGAATCATTTAATTAGAAGGGATGTTGAGTTGCCTACCTCTACCTAAACACATAAAGTAGTTGGACTTGTGCTTATATTGGACAGTCGCTTGTCTGAAATGATATAGAGTCTCCTGCTTGAGCAGGGGGCTGGACTAGAAGACCTCCAAGGTCCCTTCCAGGTCTATTCTGATTGACTGATATTAGCCAAAGTCTTCACACTACTATAACTATTGTGTATTTATAGAACTAAACACCTATTATTTATCCTTAGTGGATCAAACATTTGCTTCACTGTGGAAAGGCATGCACTACTGTATTTGAACAGCTAAGTGCGTAGCTTGCACAAGAAATCTTCCTCACTCTTGATCAAAGATTGAGAGAACTCAGATTAGAATCTGTTAGTACACAATAACTGTGGGTGAATTACAATGTGCACAGTATAGTTTGTAGTGATATGTTGAAGAGCACACTGTAAGGAGAAGGGACAGAAAAAGAAAGTTGTTATAATTACAAGCAAGATCTGCTCACATATACTACTGGCTGGTTGTTATACAGTAACTATACAAATCACATAAAACATTTAAAATCAATTATGTTGAACATGTTTTTCCTGTTAATTCTATATCTGGACTGGTGTCCTGTCCCATAATACGATATCAAAAGTTCTTCTCTTTTCCTGTGGAATCAGTATAGGACTTCAACTTCTTTAAAATTGGGTTTTAGCTTCAGAATTTACTTTTCTTCACAAATATTTCTAACACATAAGAGTTTCATGTTATTCTGCAAAAACTGAATAAACTCTTAAGTTTTGTTGCTCATACTCTTAATTTCAGGAACTCTGGAACTTCTGAAAGAAATGAATCTAAGTATTTGTATGAAATCACACTAGAAGAAAAAAGTTACTGTTTTTCTAACAAGGAGATGTATCGCAGATTCAATCTGATGGATGACAATTAACCACTTTTGGGGGGGGGGCTAGAGAATCTACAGAAGGTCTAATAGCAAGGAAAAGTCTGATTCTTAAATAATTGCAATGAAGGAATCTTTTGATTTCTCCCAGATCACTTCTGCATGTGGTATGGACTGTATTTTTTCATCTTTTTCAGTATCTGATGAAATGGGGTACCATACGATATTTACTAATAATTATTTTTTCCTTAATAGTCCTTGCTGAAATTCTCTAATATATTTTTATTAGATTTGTTTGATTTCCTATTATTTAAAAAAAATGGGTTCAATCTATCAGTCTAACTATTAAAACAAACACAGGATTCTATAGCCAAATATTTAAATAAACAAAAGTTATTACCTAAATGAGAGAAATAAAACACAGATTATATTCAGCATCATTCAATCCATAAACAACAGTTACCTTGTTTTGCAATCCCAGGTATATCTTCAAATGTAAGTGTTCTCAGTGATGGTCTCCAGAATGCATAAGATTCTACTAAAGCTTCCAACCCCATCCTAGACAACACAACAAGAATATTTTGTGATCTGAATTACCTAAAAGTTGTTCACATTTTCAGGACGGTATAATTTCACTGAGCATGATTCACAGATAAAACTGAAGTGCACTGCAGCAAATATGGAATAAAGGCAGGTTACAAATGTTGTTGGAGATGCAACTCAAGATAGCTCATGGTTTCATTTCGTCCTATTATTATTACATATTGCATCTATAGGTTTATTAATATGACACGGGAGTGACTGCTGCATGTGATAATACATTCTTCTTCTTCTCTCTAAATTATAGATTTTAGGGCTTAAGCATAGCTAAAAGAATTATTGTATGACCCCAGGGAAGAAATAAATGTGCTATTAGCCAGCAAAGGATTGTGTTTTTTTTTGTAAACATCTGAATTAGGATTTCCTACAACATCCCATTTCATCCTGAAAAGTGGGAAATAAGGCTTTCAAGCAATATTTACTTGAATTTATTTTTTAGTTTTGTTTATAACCTTCCAGGGATTTAATCTTTTTCCTTCCTTTTTATTATCTTCATAATTAATTTTGAAGTTACACAATTTTGTTAACGATATACGATCTCAATTTTTTCAGCATAAAGTTTTTTAAATGTTTAAAATGCGTGAGTTTCTGCAAACTCAAGCAAAGCTTTGAACTTGAGCAATTCTTTTGTACAATAGGAAAAAAAACCATGACCCAATTTTAATTTTTTTAAATTCATGGTTTGTCATTTAAATCAATCCAATTGTTTTAATTTGTCCTGTTTTGAAAGTCAGTTTATATTAAAACAGTGGTGTGCAAATCACACTTCCAAAGTTGCAGAACTATACTGTAACACCAATCATTTGTCACCAGCGGTCACGTTGAGGGTTTGCTGGGAGACCACATTCTTTATCTCTTTGTTTTAAACCATGATGATTTGGCAGAATATCTTACCCAACAAGGACATGGAGAAAGCTCTATCACTTACTAAACAAATGAAATTCTCAACTTGGAAGTCTTATTCAGGTTTGAAGAATTTCCTGCATAATCTAATATTACATGGTAATTTATTTGATTACTCATATATTTGTAGTATAATGTTCCTATTATAATAATCATATCCACCAGAATATTAATACCAATACGGCACCCAAGTTTTAGTTCTATGGACCTCAAAATCATTTCTAATGAACTTGCTTGTTACCCATAAAAAAGATAAAGGATGTTGGTTTTTCTCTTTTTGGCTGCTACTAAATCAAATATTTTAAAAACTAAAAATACATTGTCTCCCAATGTGTGAACTAATTTTCAGTGTGAACTATTTCTGCAATTGCCAGAATGTTAGTTTGCTTAAAATTTTTTACTGTTTAAATGTATGCAATTCAATAGAGTAACACAGTTATACAGGTAAGTGGGTCAAGAATTCTAATTTGGGATGGGCTTGCATGATAACAATTATCAGCATATTCCTGAGATATATATTTTCTCTTAAATTACATGTTCCTACCAAAGACAGAACACTTAAGCCTACATATAATTATGATTTCCTTACTCTGTTCATCTCATACAACTAAAAAAAAAAAAAATCACATGTAGGAAAGGTATAGACAATTGCAACCAAAATTATCCCTGAGAAAATACTAAAATAGCTAGATCCTTTTAATTTAGAAAAAAATGGGGTAGCAGTTTCCAAAATGGTAAGTGATATGCAGAAAGATACTTTTTTTAGTTTGTCTCATACCACTAGAACTTGAAGTCAACCAATTAAATTGATTGGCAATAGAGTCTGGAGAGAAAAGACAAAGCACTTTTTTTGTAGAATACATAATTAACTTATGGAATTCACTTTCTTTGGAGACAGAATCAAACCAGAATTGCAATTTAGCTTAACAATTTGAAACAATCAGTATTCTCCCATGACATTGCTTTTCTAAGACACTGGTGCCAGACTGATCCCAAAAACACTGGAGGAAAGAATTATGAAATAGTATGATATGTGAATTTCAAAAATAGCCTTATTTTTTTTTATCCCTGTGGTAATAGGAGAGTTTTTATTTTTTGCTAAAGTACAGATAAAAGCCCATCTCCTGAGGAAGTGAAACCAATGTGATAATTTATACAAGATGCTTTTCAGAAATGTCCTACTTGTTATCACCATCATAATTTATACTTCCAAATGGCCAATTTTATTAACTGTAACCTATCATATTTTTTTCTAAGTAAGGGAGAAAATATATGTTTTACTTTCTGGAGTAAAGATTTTTATAACATTCTTTTCTAAAGTTTGTCCAAAGAACTCTATTTTCAATAAAGCCTATTTTACTTCATAAGGTTGTCAGTCATACACAGTATACTTTTCACACACAAAATGCTGATTTTTAGAAACAATGTCTGAGGCTGTAAATAATGTGAGCAAAGAAAAAAGGATAAATATTTTTTTCACTAAATAGTTTTGCTAAGCATCCCAAAAGAAGAATTGCAGGTTTGAAAACCGGCAATAAATATGACCTAGAAAGTAGAAACAAAGCTCTACAGCTGAAGATTTACATATTAAATATTAAGCAAATTGAGTGGGGATATAAGACTGCTCTTCAAATACCTGAAAGGCTATCAAATAGGAGACAATCAAGAATTGTTTTCTATTGTTCCAAAATATAGTACACAAGTGACACCAGTTACAGGAAGACAGATTCCAAAGGAATATTGGGGGGAAAACTTATCAACAAGAACAATTCCAAAATGGAACAACTAGTGAAACAGACAGATTTCATTTCATTGCGTGGTTTCAAGCAGACACAAGATGCTTTAATCTGATTTATATACCGAGCAAGGAGTTGGCCTTAATGGCTCCTTCCAACTTTATGAATCTATACCAAATTTTAATTCTCAAATGTGACACACAACTTAGATATGCTACTTTTGCACCCAATACTTATGCATCTTCCTAAATAACTTGTAGTTTTACAATAAATGTCAAAACATTTACCTGTTGCGCCCTGAATCTCTAAATCCTTTTGCAAAAGGATTTCTATCAATCTTGAGTCTGGTGATCTGTAAAGATAATACATAGAAAATGTGGAGACCTATAAAATGTAAGATTTTAGAACCAATAATATAATATTCACTAATTTTTAATATAACACACAGAAAATCTACATAAAAATTGAGTTACCACTATTAAATAATAATGCAAGCATATTCTATAAATAAATACCAAAAAACCACTGTTTTCGTTATTATATGTTCGATGAAACTAATTGGACATAGTTCAATGGAAATTTAATTCCTGTAAAAATCATGGGGGAAAATCTAAAACAGTAGTAAATCTCATTTTGATTGAATTGATTTTTTTTACCTAATAGCTTTACTACTATCCTGCTTTTTTGGAGGCTGCAGATGCATTGGTAGGTGTATAATACCCTTGGCATGTACATTTGTCAACAAAGAGGATTAAATGCAGTCTTTTGACATTTCAGCCAGTTATTTTAAATAATTAACATCTAATATGTTCAAAAGCACATTGTTCGATTGTGTAAATCAAACCTAGCCATGTCCAGGTTAAAGGGGTTGTGGAAAAGGCAACAAAGCATTTGCATTTCCCTATTCTTATAGCACCGGCAGATCTTATCCAATAGCTTTGTACACGGTGGCTCACACCTGGCTAGGAAAGAATGTACAAGATGTTGATTAGGCATTTTGCAAGTATAACCATTTATTTGTGCTTTGAGTGTGCTATGGTGTCATCCGTGATGTATTTGAGTTTGTGGAGTCTGAGGAAGTAGACAAGAACATCTTACTACCACTAGCAGGTTGGATATGTTTCCCATCTACTTCCTCTGGGTAATCAGGAGAGGGGTAAAGAGTTGATTCAAGAAGTGAATTGGGGAAATGGACAGGTACCAGCAGCCTTGAAGGAGGCAGTGTTGTGTTTATTCCATATAGTTTTCAATCTTCTCTTTCTATCAGCCTTTCCAAACAGATTAGACTAGGAATTCAATATTATGTAGATCAGTACTGGTTTTATTGTAAAGCTATAGTATAGTTTTTTGCTGTTTACCAGTATTTCTTTCATTTGTCTAGACCAGTGGTTCTCAACCTTTTTAATGCCGCGACCCCCAACCGGTCGTAAGTCAAGGACTACTCAACCAGTCGTAAGTCGAGGACTACTCAATTGGTGCAGCACCGTTTGCAGAATGGGACTTTTGACGGGCTCAGCAGGGCAGAGACAGCCTGGACAACTCCTATTGGCTTTTGAAAGCCAATAGAATTAGACCCTATTCAAGAGAGTCTATTCTATTGGCTTTCAAAAGCCAATAGAATAAAAGGGAGTAGTACAGCTAAGGAAAAGGGGGAAAAAATGGCAGACTGCGTTGTTTGGCGACCCCCGTGACATGGTTGTTCGACCCCAAATGGGGTCCCGACCCACAGGTTGAGAACCACTGGTCTAGACTTTAATGAATGTCTATCCTAGTAAGCCATCAGCATTAAAACAAAATAAAACAAAAGTTACCTGCTGATTCTGGTATGCTGTGACAGTAGTGAAAACAGTTTCAGGAAAAGTGAATGCCTTCACGCCATCACCAGAAGGAATGGGTTTGACTGGGGAGAGATCATCCCCACAGTCTTTTCGAATGACATGGACACGTGGCTGGTATTTGTGCATAGAATGAAGAATTATCTATATTGAAAAAGAGAAAGAAAGAAAGAAAGAAAGAAAGAAAGAAAGAAAGAAAGAAAGAAAGAAAGAAAGAAAGAAAGAAAGAAAGAAAGAAAGAAAGAAAAGTGTTCTAATTTTCTTCCCAGTTCTTCTACATAAATATTTTAAATATAATAATATGAATTGCCCAACTTGCTTTATTCCGGCCAAAGCAAATATACTGTGTTGAATCTCAAAACTACCCTGCTTTAGTTCAATAGAATGGCTTTGGATGATAATTTTTAAGCTATCAGAAGCAATAATCAAAGATTTTAAAAATGGATTGTTAGCCTGAAGCTGATTCTGTTCAGATTAGACTAAAGATTTTCAGAAATACTCTTGAACTTTCAATTTGCTGAATCATGAAGAAATCATGTATTCATCATCCACTGAATATACCCATTTACAAGGAGTAATTTTATCTTTTATTTATTACACAGTATAAACACAAATTTTTTTTAAAAAAAAACTTATTGCTTTATAAGAATGATAGTAAACTGTCATTCTGAAAATATTTGCATTAGGATAGCATAACTTACACCACAGCAAAGAAAATCTTAAGACTTTAATTTTATCAGAATCAAAGATATGTCACTGCTACATTATACACTAATGGAATACTCATTGTATCTTTCAAATCCATTTAGACCAGAACTTAAATCATGTTCTTAGAGTATGTAGTCACCAGTCCAAAACATAATACAAATAGTGCTTTTTTTTGTAAAAAAAAAAAAAAAAAAGTGCCGGAACTCACATATTCATACAACCCGCCTTGCCTACCCTACAAGGTTCCATCCAAAAAAGGTGCCGGAACTCCGTTTTGGGCGTTTTATGACAAAAAAAGCCCTGCAAATAATATTCACACAACTCCAAAAGGTGGAGTGTCTACCTATACAAACCAAAATAGAAGGATGCTCAATTGATGCTATGAGAAGCTTGCCAAATATTGCAGGCAATCCTGCAAAGAAGATCCTAATTTCAAATAAGTATGCATAGAAATACTCCTGACTAATGTTTCAAACAATCTAACCATGATTATTCATGAAACTAATTCCTACCCACCCTGCAACTGTGTTGACTATGCCAGTCTTCCATGCCAGTATTCAAATAGGATTTATCTTTGTATACTCATTGTTCTTCCCCTATTCCTACTTGTTCATTCTGTCTCCTAGGTCATTCATAGAATCTCAATGTATTCATCCAGGTAGCAAGTTTTTTAAACAAATCCTAAAGCCCTGAGTTGGCCTTCCTATATTATGTTTCCTTCACAATGCAGCAATTTCCCCATCTAATAACACAGAAGTGTTCAATCTCAGCATTCATAATACCCAGTCCACTTTTAAGAATTGTTGGAATTCAGGTGCAAAATGCCTAAAGACTCTTGAGTTGGGAAAACTGTTGTAAAAAAATAGAATAGCCACTGTTCATAAAGCTACATATTGTATGTGAATTCATTGTTAACACACTGGTTAGCAATGTGAACTCTGAGGTTGGGCAAAACAAAAGTAAATGGAATTGGAGTAGCAAAACTAAAAGCTCAATGATCTAGTTATAAACTGAAAATACAACAGGCATCCAAGGGGACTAGAAATATTTTCACTTAATCTATACAGATTCTCAATTGCTAATGTTTGTTGTATTTTTCTAACCACCCATCTCCCTCAGAAGAAAAATATCTCTGAAAAGGAGTTGTAAACACACTGTCCATCAGACTGTGCGATGTCTACTACATCTCTGAAATGTCATTTTTTTTTATTCCTTCCCAAGTTCAAAACTGTTCATGTGACGGCTCTAGAACGAACATGGGAATGTTTTCATAATATCTTATAAACCATAATTTTCAAAGATTTCTGGAAAAAATATTACATCAGTTTTAGGATGCATCTGAATTTGCTTCAGATCAAAAATATGTTACTTTTGGAAGTTGTTTTGTTTTATTTTGAAGTTTCATGTCTATCAGCCAATAGTCTATCGATTTAAAATGAATACAATTTTTAATTTCCTGTTTCATTATTGCCCACAAAATATTAAATTCAGCATTGCATGTCATCATTCCCTGGTTCCCATTTTATCCCTATTGAATGCCAAATACCATAAAATCTTACTGTGCCCAAAAATGGAAGGATTTTATGTTTGAAAAAAATAAAAATCTTGGCTATCATTAGGATACTTTTAAGTGAAATCATTCCACACTTGAGAAAGTGACAGTCTTTTCGATAAGCAAAATTCCACATACGTAAACTTCCATTACACTGAACTCTGATTTTTGACAGTTTTATCAGATGCACACCAAACATGCTTAGATAAGTTTCCTCCAAGTACTTTCCCCAACATCTGTATTTTTATCAGAACAAGATATCAACAATCATTCTGCTGAAGCAAACATTTCAAAAGTATTCTAGATATTTTGGACACTTTGTACTGCTTTGGTAAAAACACACTGAAGAAGAAATCACTCCATAATTCTGAAAATGTTAATATACTTCTTTGTGTGTGAGAAAGAGTAGAGTGAATGAGTGAGTGTGAACGCTTTTGGCACTATCCATATGGAAAGTTATTTAAGTTATTTATTTATTTTTCCATCTAGAGACACTTTTGCACAATGAGGGATTATTTTTTTGTTGTTACTCATTTGACAATAGACTTCGGCTTAAAAAAAAGTCTATCACTACTAGTTGTCTTACAGAAATAACTGGCCAAAGATTTTGACTTAACAAAACAATGTTAATAACCCAGGGTCTTCAGATAATGCAACGTTGATGAATGATTTCTTTGTAGTACAAGAGAATTCAAGGACTGGTTGGAGAAATTAGAAATAAAGATATAATCTTCCCTTTAAGAATGAGAGACCAATGCATTGTGGATTATGATTTCCAAGAAGAAACTAAAAAAAATAAAAGTTACTGTGGAACTTTTCCCTTCATTTTCATGAAGGCAGTTCCTTGGATTCAAGCTTCAACAAAATTAATAGGGCTTAGACTTTGAACTTAACTTTCATGTCAAAACCTTTTGGATGAAATTAATGAATTGAATTATTATGTTTCTTTTTTATGCTAAAAAGTACCGGGCATACCAGTAAATGGTCTGTTACAATTACACAAAGTCACTCAGGATTAGAATAATATTCAGGATTAGAAATAATTATCTCTCATTTCAATTCAATATATTTTCTTGAATGTGTATTCCTGGATGTGACTGAGATAAAAAAAAAAATTGCGACTGTGAAATAATATTTTTTTAAAGTTCACCATGAAAAGCCTAAGAGTACTTTTCGATTTTTAATACTGTATTGTAGCTTGAATACTAATTATATTTCAAACTTGCTCCTTTCCGTTTCCCCTGTTTGCAGATTCTTGAAACTCTTTTATTGTGTTTGGTTATGCTTAAAAGTGCTGCAGATGAAACACAAATATATACTATTTTTAGTGATCTAAATCAGTGGTTCTTAACCTGGGCGATATTGCCCCCAGGGGGCGATTTCATTTTTCAGGGGGGCGATGGAATGAAAAGGGGCAATGCGGGGGCGAAGGAACGAAAAGGGGGCGATATGGGGGTGATGGAGCGAGACGTTTGGGGGACATCTTTGAGACTTTTTCATACAGTAAATCGCTGTATATCTGTCGTACAAAAACATCAGATTGCTCGCTATTAGTGGATTGAATTGTGTTTTCAAATGTTCCTTCAGCTAGCTTCAGTACAGAACGCCGTACATATGTGAAGACGCATCGCTTATCTTCATGCGTGTTGTGCAGCAGCCTCTACCCATACAGTGGCACGCCATTGGCCAGAATATGGGAGATATGGGAAAAAGACTGGAAATAAATTATTTGCATCGATATGTCCTGATGACAATTTTAAAGAAAACGAAAAAAGGGTTTGCATAAATTGAAGAATTATTTCCTATGTTGTGATTGAGAGGTTATGTTGGGGGGAGGGGGGCGATGACAACTTCCTCATTGGCTCAAGGGGGCGATTCGTTCAAAAAGGTTAAGAACCACTGATCTAAATAATGCAAAGCAACATAAGAAAATAGATTGATAAAAGATCCCAAACCACACTAAATCTTTTTCAAGCAAGCAGCACTTAAGTATTTATAAAACATCCAGCAATAACCAGAAACCAGATTTAAGCAACATATGTGTGACAACAAAGGCCATATCATTATGCTATATCTGTCCTCCCTCATGGATTTAGAATTTCACAACAGTGAGTCTGTATAGATAATAATAAACGAATTGCTGGAATTTCTAGCCTTTCTGCAAAAATAAAATAATCAGTATGTTAGTATGTTTGGAGTGAAATTTTAAAGCTTTCAAGAGATTTTTGAAAACTATACTTGCAACCTGTATTTGTGTCCCTGCTTCTAATTTTCATTGCCATGACTGGTTTGTTAGAAGACATTCACCCTCACTGTAAAAAAAGTGTTTTATTCAAAAGTATTATTCAGGACTATGCACTCCGAAGTTCAGTTGGATTCACTCCAAGGAACTAAATCAGGATTACAGCTAAATTTGGATTATAAATATTATTTTAGGTTTCTATAAAACGTATTCAGCTATAAATGATTAAGTATAAAACATTCATTTATACATCTCTACTGTGGCCAAAACAGTGTAGGCCAAACACATTTTCTAGAGGTAGACATCTCAATTGGGGATTGTGGGTAATAGAATATTACATTAGAGGACTTTTTGGTCATCTAATAGCATTCTACTTTAATCTTTTTATCCTAGACATAATTTCATCCTTGCTCTGCAATTTCTAAATATGCAAATCTGCACGATCAATACTAGTCATTATTTCATATTTACATCCATTGAAACAGTACATGCAGGCATACATTTTAAGACAATGCATGCCATTGAAAATTAACATTTGTTTTCAACCGGAGGCCATCAAGTTGTCTAATTATGTGTTGGACTGAAAACTTATCAGAGTCTTTCCTCACTAGTGGTCTTCAGAATAAATCAGCCCTTAATTTGCCAACACCCTAGTTTACTTGGAGAACAAAATGAGCTCCTGGCTACAGTTAATATCTTGTCTTCTGAAATACTAATTGGTATGAAGAGGCAATGTTATGAATTGTCCAAGCTTCTGCCAGGAATTTGTCAAAGATGCATCAAGACATAATTGGTCACATGAAAATATCTCCCCTAAAATGTCTGAAAGTGGGAAACAGTTAACATTTATAGAGATCCAGCAGGAACAGCTGGTTATTTTTCTGAAAGGCAAAGGTAAGTCTGCTTAAAATATGGGTTATGGTGAAGGGGAAACCCTGAGATTGCCAGAGCATTATAGTACTGATCATAACTGCAAGTGAAGAAAGGGCGTAATTTAAATATATAGTATATATATACTCAGCAGCACTTTTTCGTGCGGCTGCTGATAAAAACAGGATCACCAACTTGATCGCCAACGTCCGATAACGGATATGGCACAACAAGAAGAAGAAGATATATACTAGTATGTTGGTATTTTTATCTTTTTTCAAATCAGTGCTTCTTTTATGCTTTCAATTATATTGTCATAACCATAGAGTTAAAATTTGGGAACTATTAAAGAAAGAAACAGAATGCAGAAAAGTATTTCAAGAACAAGTAACATAATTTTACTAGTAAGCATGTTAATTGTTTACATTACAGTGAATAAACAGCTAGATTTTTAATACCAGTAAAATAGTTTGTTTTATGTTGGTTGAAGAATATAATAAATCTTATGATAATTAATAAAAAATTACAGCAGGAGATAAGGCAAACTTGAATTTAATTTTTTATACTGTATTTGAGAGAAGAAAATAATGTTTCAGTAAGTACTATAAATACAAAGAGATAACAACATTATCCTTCGGTTTAGTAAAATGAGAATAAGAATATTTACTCTAATCTGTACCCTTTTAACTTCATTAGTTCAACTATGAATATGCACTATATTAAGAATGGTTCAGGTTTTTGTTTTATGGAAATTATAAAATTATATAAGGGGAAAAAACTTTAGACGTGACATTTGGAGAACATTTTAGGAAATATGGTTGATATTACAAATAATTTTCAATCTATATGAATGTGAAATAAATTCAGTTTAAAATTCTGTTCTACTGGCATTTTATTCCAATAAAAGAAATGGAATAATGTAGGAGTATACAGGGATTTTAAAATGTGGTATTATGCCATATTTTCTAAACCTATCCCAAGGTGCTATTATATTTTACAGGATTAGATTGCTTTGTAAGTATTATTACTTTTATTAACTTAAATCAACAGGAATTCCAAATATAAAGAGATAAATGATTTGATCTCTGCAAAAATATCTATGCAAGACATTGCAAAATATCCTAAATCCCAATACTAGGAAATACCTCTTGAAAGTATTAAATTTTTATCAAGATGAAATTGATGTAAGTGGTAAATATAAATATTTAAATAAGCAATTTAATCTGAATTATTTTTAAATTCCTATGGTTTGGCAGAGGCAAAATTTATATTTTCAAATTGAGAATTATTTATGTATTAAAAACTGTCAGAAGCTTTCAGTATCAATATACTGTACTTAAATGTCCACAGCATGGTTAGAGACATTGAAAGTATAAATGGTAAGGTATAAGTGGTAAGAATGTATTTATCAAACAATCTTGTTTCCCTGACAAATCTGAACATTTTTTATTTGAAGTATTTTGGCACTAAATCCATGTACACTTATAACAAGGTATAAAATATTCTATTATTTAAATAATATATTTAAATGCTCCAGGAAAATTATATAACATTTAATATATCTGCAAGCTTACAATAGCATTACTATAAAAATATTGTATCAATATTCATCTATTTATATAAGACACATGATTTATTCAATATGTAATAATTCCACCATTTCGAAATATTTTCTGATTCAAACTTGGTGGCTAAATAATCAAAGCAATATACTTTTGAATGATCTTTCTCCATTTTATAATTCTGACTGGGTAACAATAAATGACATTATTTCAAATCTCTTTTTTTAAAAAAATATAAACGTTTGACTCAAATTTTCAATTTGTTAGTTTTGAATCATTTGAGTGTATATTTTTTCAATTGATCCAGAAGACAGATAGTTGACTTTGTTCCAAACTGAAGTATTCATTAATGTACAGCACTTCCTTAACTTTAAAACTACAACATGAATAATAAATAGCTAAGTTTATACAGTTTTAATTCAGAAAGGATTGAAGTAAATCTTCTAAATAGAAGATTTAGAAGGTATAGAAAATTTGCTTTTTATACTTTTCATGAAGTGTTGTTATCCATCTCACAGAGGTGTGAATACTAGCTGCTTCTGAATAATTTAAATGGACTACAGTAAAAGTACTATTTGATAAGACTACATACAGCTTTCTTCTAAAAAATATCATTGATATCTGAGGCCTCTCTCTCCACTCCTGTTCAAATGAGATGCGGAAATCCAATAGCCCTTCCAAAATGATTGGAATTTCTATTTCTTTTTTATTTGAGTCTCTTGATTCCTTTGAGTATCTCACAGGACTACTCTCCTTCATCTAGGAATAAACTATCTTAAAAATGATTTAACTTTAACTGTCTTACAAAGTTGAATTGCCATCTAGAAGATAATTTACAAAATAATTAAGTTAACAGGGCCAATTTTCAGCTGCACTTAAGCTTGCCTAACACTCACATAAAGATACAGGTAATAAATAATAATAAAAGGAGGAAAAACAAGACACAATCATAATACCGTATGAACATAATGAATATCAAAGTTTCATAGATTTTCCACAATTACGTAAAAGATTTTCCAGATTAATTATTATGCAAAACTAGAAAATTTAAACACAATTTAAAATATTCAATGTAATATTCAATCTAAACCATATTTCACCTAGAATTGCAAGCTAAAGTAGATTTAGGATAACACACAAAACCCTACTTCCACAAAGAGAGAACCTGCATTCTTAAAAAGGCCCTTATGTATCTCCAAAATGCAGTCTATTTTTCTAAGTCCAAGTAGCCACCTATTTCTGAATTTATGAAAATTATCAAAATAAAGTTATTTGTATATTATTGTTGTTATGTAACATGAGATGTATTTTAAGCATTTTAAAGACACTTATGTATATTCTGTTTTTCCTTGTTTCAAAATAATGGAAATTTTCCTATAGCATGTATTATCAAATGAGCTAATATCATAACTAAACAATTTAGAGCTTTCAAATACAATAGTTAAACTATACAATTCCCTTCCAGTTTTGCAGATGTAATGAGCTTCAGCTGTGAAAAGATCTTGTTGTATAAGGTAGGTAATAAATCATTATCAAAGTGAATACAGCTCTCATGTTGTTCCTTTTGAGTATAGCATAAACCTCATGGGAGCTTTGCAAAAGTTATCAAATCATGAGTTACATTTTCTTTAGTGCACCTATGCTTCCTCTATGTTGAGAACACTTATTTTAAGGATTTATAATCTATGTTTTTTCACTATTTTTTAAAAAGATTCAACAACTACAGAGAGAAAGGCAAAGTATACTGTTTGTTCTGTACTTTCAGTTTTGATATTTTTCATATGTCCAAAGGCCGGAAACAAACATCTGAAGCAAATTATTACTAATTCACTGATGTGACAAAATATTTATTAACAAAGCTGACATAAATCAATCAATTTTTGTTAACGTTAAGTCCAAAGCTTTATTGATTTATTTTTAAGAGTGGCTGGTCTTATGTTAATGTTGCTGAAAAACAAATATATTGATAAAAAAACTCACATGACCCTGATCATCCAGTTCATTGTTTGTAAGCTTCAGTTTGTCAAAGCTAATCACTTGCCGCATCCAAGTCTCTCCTGAGGCAGGTGAATCCGGATGAATGTACACACGGGCAGGCACAGGTGAGTCAGCATTGCCAGCTACCATCCATTTGGAACTATGATAAACATACCTATGGGAGAGATTTATGATATTCACAATGAAAATATTCTTTCGCAAGTTTGCTATAATAGAAGTATATTCTATAATCCCCCATTAGACTACTTAATGTTGTTTTATATTGTTTTAAGAAGAACTCATTATGCATTTTACTTCTGATCCTACTGTAAATTGCTTCAAGATGCTTTGGCATGGAAAGCAATGTAGTAAATAAATTATTATTTATTTACTTTCCAAGGCTGCCTACTCTCCTAGAGATTCTGGGTGGCTTATAAGAGGGTTAAAAACATCAAAACACTAAACACTAAAACATCACAGAAGTAAAACCACCACACCAAGGAAGACAGATATTCAAAGTATGCTATGTGCTGTTGTGTTCAGGCACTGTCTAAGCCCAGTGTCTTCAAGAAGACTCCAGTCTTAAGGCTTTCCTAAACGCAGCAGAATTGGGGCCATGCAGACCTCTGTGTGTGTGTGTGTGTGAGAGAGAGAGAGAGAGAGAGAGAGAGAGATCTGTTCCAGAAAGTCAGGCACAGCAACATATTTACAGAAGATAAAAGAGAGGGATTGTTTTCCTGGTCTGCATTACTTCTTTACCGTAAAGAAAAATACAGTTATAATATGATTTAAGCTTAGTGGTCATATTTCAATAGAACAGTTTCATTATTGAATAAATTATTCAGTATTTTTCTATCAGTAAATTGAACTATAGATAGAAAAATTTGTTCCAAATCCCTCACTGATAATTAAAGCAATTCAAATATTATAATTTGAATCAACAAAAACTTTGCTTGGAAAAACAGATCAATTAGGCTTGATATTTTAGAGGTGAAAATATGTCCTTAGTACAGGAATAAACTACATGTGTTTTATAAGAATTACACCCAGGTAAAAGTGTTAGAACTGCAGCCCACAAAAAGAAAGGGTCTTTTGTTAATGGGAAAGGCTTTTGACCCAGCAGTGCTTTTCCCTGGTGAATGAGAAGGGAGGACAGAGACAGCTTTTATCAATGGTTCCTCCTCCTTACAATCCAATGATACATACCTCTATTTCACAACAGACTGCACCCTTAGGAATTCACCAATTCACCACAGTAAGATATGATGATAGCCATTAACCTGCACAGTTCTAAAAGAGGATTCATGGAGGTAAGGCTATCATAGGCTTATTAGTTTTGGAGAAAGTTGGGGCAAATAGCTTACAGATAGCAGATACAAAGGACTGTGGAATGTCTGTTTCATGCCTATAAGTGTAGAGAAGTATCCAGTTTTAAGAAATGAAATGTTGGATTAAGATGGATTTTGACCCAATTCAGGGGGATGATTTGTATGTTTTTTTTTTAAATCACTGAGTTGATAGGGCTGAACAAGAAGAATAAATCAGCAAAATCAACATCCCCTCCTTCTGCCAAGACAACAGAACCATCAACTCACAAAGACAATCGATGCAAAGTCTATGTCTCTATTTCTATCTCATCTTTATAAAAAGTAAATTTATTTTTTTTATTTCCTATTTCTAAACTGCCTACTCGCTTAGAGAAGGGCTTTGGGTGGTGTATCCAAACATTAAATCTGTATATAGAAGATTTCTTTCTTTATATTTAGGTAATCATTTAGCAGAAAGTTTATTCATAATACACTATTTAACATTCTTATTTCTGTGCAGAATTAAATGCAGATGAGAAATTATCTGCATGAGTTGTAAATTTAAGTTTCACTAAAGCTAGTAGTAAAAAAAATAAATATTTTAAAATTTAAATTAAAAATTAGGCTGTTATTTTAGAAATATGGTCTTTTGCATAACACCTGCAAATATATTTGCATTCATGGTGAGTAGAGCAATTTTAAGCATAGAAATCCTATTGAATAAGATTACTTAGAAAACTTATTTAAGATCTGCAACTGAAGGTGATGAACTGCAATTCAGATTCATAAAAATGTTTTATTAATCTGTCTTTAATTATATTTATTTGAGCCTTATATGATAACTGAAATTTCTCAGCTGTTTTAATAAATGACTGGGTCATTTATTAAAGTATTATCACAATATCGTGCACTAGAATCAATTAGGATGACGTTTCAGAACATATGAAATGCAGAATTGGGCCTTTTTATAAATCCAAAAGATAAACCAGAATTGGAGAAAGGAGAATAAATATAAGGATGTTATGTTTCGTAACTTGGATTTTTTTTTAAAAAAAATACATTAACACATTTTCAAACAGTGGTTTTAAAAGTACTTCCAGTAAATAAAACCACAATCTTTTCCTCAGAAAAATAGCAAAGATATTATGAAAACAAATGTCTAATTTCTTAAATTTGCAATTTTCTGAAAGCATTCATTATGTTTCCCTTCCTACAAATTTAGGAATTCTAGTGGGAATACTTGTAGATATATACCACCTTTGCAAGGATCTACAAGATTGAAATCTTACATTAACATATTTAACAAATGTTACTAACAGCCATTTAGTGATTGCAAACAATTGTACAGAAATAACAGCACATATTAAATAGCTGAACAAAACTTTTCCATACTATGGTTCATCATAACTTCGAACAGTCACTAAGCAACCAGTTGTAAGTTGAAGACTACTGATAACCAGCCCAAAATCACCCAACAAATAGGTTTCATGGCTAACATGAAACTAGAATTCACAGTCTCCTGATATCTAGCCTGGCATTTCCATACTAAAAATCAGAAAGGAATATTAATTCTATATAATTTAATTCTGTATCCAATATGGTTCACAGTTATATTCCTTGATTAAAAAACAATTTAAAAATCAGTACAATGACATAAACATATAAAGACAAGAGCCTGATAAATTATTATTAAATGAAATAAAGGTTTAAATACAGAGCAGCAAAATAACCCATATTTGTTTGAATGAAATCATATATTGCCTTGAGTAAAATTATTTTTGCATGTTAGCAAAAAGCTATCAACCAAGATAGGTTTTCTTCATTGGTGACTTCCAAATGTAGTACAAACCACTGAAAAAGACTCCAATTTACACCAAATGCATATAAAACCTGGAAAAGATAGAGAAGGAGTCTGCTTGGAAGAATCTGACAGCTGAGCATCTCACCTCAAAGAAGACAATTCTTCAATAAACTGATCTTATATTATCTAAGAATTTATAATAAACATTCTGAACTGTACCCATAAACAAATTACCAGCCATATAAATTGTAGTTGTTATACTCTTTCTATAACTGGTCTAGGTCTACAGTCTGGCTACGGCATTTTAAGATGGCTGAAGTTTCCAATCTTCAAAAGTATGGAAGTGATCTAATCCAGATGTAACTATACTGTCTTACCAGTGCCAAGGCAGACACCTTAACAGGCATATTTGGAGCCAAACAAAAGACTCCTGGCTACCAATGAAAGGGAAGTATCCAAACTATGATTAAATCTAGAGATATCCTCAGACTAAGTATCTTATCTTTTTATTAGCCAAAAGCAGCTAGATGCTTTCATTTTGTTTGCTTTCATTCAATCCATACCAAACTGTATTTCAAAAAAATCAACATTATCTTTGGATTATGACAGACAGGACTAGGAATCATCCAATTTGTGGTAACACCAAGGTGAAAGGCAAGGGACAATCTTCAAAAGGAATCTATATTTCATGCTGTTTAAAACTGATAAAAGGTCAAGGGGGGGTCACAAAAAATTCACTCTCCTATCAAGTTCCCAATTGAAGGGCATGTACTAAGACAGTCAAAATAATTTCAATCCCGTAATAACGATCAACCCATATTCAAGTGAATCTCAGTAAACTGTACAATACTCCCAAGGGAAAAATGTATATTGCATGTCATTATATGCTCCTAAACATATTTTACAAAAATCTGAAAATTACACAACATAATGAAATTCAAGGCTAGCTTCCTTCTTTCAGCTTTTATAAATGAAAGAGAATATGGTTGAACCATTCAAGGACACACATGATGTATATTACTTTTTCAAGAATTTTATCCAGTTCGTTGGACTGTTTAAACTGAAAAATATCCATCAAAATTGGAGAATAATAGAATTCTATTAAACTCCTTTAATGATAGTATTCAGGTCTAGCGGGTATGAATGAATTTATCTGCAAAATCCTTTGCTTAACTGGATGCAGTGAACTACTAAGCCAGCCTCATTATTTCTTCGAAGCCCAAATATAGACCTATGTATACAAGCAAAACACTCCATTACCTAACTAACGCACATACTATGATAGTAGAGAAAAAAACAATTGTCCCATTTCTCTTTGGAATATTTTTAAAATAGGCTTCTATTCTACATTCTGTCAAAATTTGTCAAGTCTTTCACCAATGTCTCTTCAACTTTCATTTTAATTTAAGAAATAATCTAATCTAATCTATCTATCCATTTTAGGGCATTTGTTTAGCTTCATGAAGCAAGCATACACAGGAATAATTAGACAACTATCTTTGGTACATCTTTAGAGATGGCATGAAAATCAACTGCTACATATCTACCCTAACAAAGAAATAACCAAGGAGAGAAAGACAACCAATATCCAATTGAATAATCATAATTCTAGTATGGCCATGTAGCGTCCATCTTGAAAATATATTCAGTCCAGTAAAATCTATACAATAATGTCCCATCTTGAAATAATTCAAAGCAGATCTAGGGTATTAAAATTGTTGAGTATTTCTTCCACTTCCTTCTCTTTTTAAGCGAAAGACCAGGTATGAGTTTTAAAGGGATGCTTTATCATAACTGCTTTATGAAGCAAACTCCATCCCACCATCTCTTTATGGCTGAAGCAAAGCAAGTACATTTCTTCTTTTAGCTTTGTAGTCTTCTCCAGCATTTCACTAGCTGGAAGAGGCTTCTGTGCTGTCACTAGTGGACCTGCTAATCAAATTTCAAGATCTCAGTAAGGCATACCACATCACCTTTGTCTCTCGACTAGGTAAAGACATTGTTTCCATGGCAAAACAGAAAAATTACAGCTGTTGTAACTTTAGCTATCGAGTAGTTCCATATTCTTGCACAGTGTTCTTAATTGGGCAAGCAAAGTGATTTGCACCGTAAAGACAATCCTCTTCATTTCAGTCTTACTAATTACAGTGAATCTATTTGCAAGTAAGGAGCTGAAGGACTGTTGCTTACAGGATAAGAAAAAAAATTGATACAGGGTATTCAATATGTGAAACAAATGTATAATGCTCAAATACAAAAACAAAAAACAATGATCAAACTTGGGGCTGTTCATGGGCAAAAAGAACATAGGAATTTGGAAGGGAATTAAGCACAATTTTGTTATTTTCCAAATAAACAATATATTTTGCAGTTCCCTCATCCCATGTATTAAATATTAATGCTACTTTACCTGTATCTTTTGTTGTCTACAGGGACAATATCCATAGCAATGTAATACTGCTGATGAGGATCTAGGCCTGAAATTTTCACTCTCATTGCAGGAAACATTCGTCTGAATATAGAAAGAGTATTTAATAAAAAACAGATTTGGGACACAAAATCAGGAACAAGACTGAAGTATAACCCTCAACTCTTTCTCATTTAAAGTTATCTGCAAGCTTTTTTTCCTTTTTAAATCATTAGAGCTAATTCACTCACAAAACCCTAACACAGGGGTGTCAAACTCGTGTTGCAACATATCGCGACTTTTTCCCCATTGCTGGACCTGAGGTGGGTACGGTTTCAGCATGATGCATCTGGCCCCTGGGCCGGCAGTTTGACACCCCTGCCCTAATTCGTATGTCTCAGTAACTTTTACATATATTTTTTGTTAGTGAAATTCCTTCAAACAACAAACTCAGTATAGATGTGAATTAGAAAGCTATTTTTTGTTTTTAATTTGTTGCTCTGTTTAAAACTCACATCACAGGCTGAAGTAGCAGCTGCAGCTACTCATAAATACGATTTTCAGTTTGTCATTCTGATCCTCAAAAATGTTTTCTCAAATGTAAATAGGTACAGCTCATTTTCATGTTGCAGTTCCCCGAACATAAACATTTTCCCTCTAGGATTACATGCATACATGTACACACACCCAAATTCATATCTAAACAGATGATCAAAACTATCAGTTTTGTCATGGGAAAAGAAGATTTATGACTTTATCAGCTGCTTCTAATAATTAGCATAGTGAGAGATTATAGCATCTGTCACCTTTTCAGCAGTGAATATATGTTACAAAAACAATAAGCATGGTTTTAGAGGTGAATTTCCCAGGACAGGGTTATACTACTTAAAATATAGTATATTTTAAGGTAGTAGGGGGAGGTATATATGCAGAAGTGTGTATATACATAAACTCCAAATCATCTAAATGATATTCATATAGTATATAGACAAATACATATATGTCCAAAAGGTACCATTCTAAATGTATATTTAGAAACAAATTCCAATAATACAAATGGGACTTTTGTATAAAGATAATTATGAATTATTTCCCCCATTTTTTAAGTAAAAAGACTTAAGTATTTAACAAGTATTCTAAAATGTATTTATATTTCATATTTCTAAATTGCCCATCTCCCTCAGAGAGAAAAAAATATTTCAAAAATTATCTCAAAAATTACTTCATTAATAAAAAATCCACACAGCAATCACTACATGGAAATCTATGAAGTACTGTATTGTATTTCTCAAATTAGCTGTTGAGTAAAAACTGTCTTCGTTTTAAAGGAATTTCATAACAAAGATATAGTATATTTTTACTTTCATATAAGGACCATAGATTCAGTTCTATTTTCCTAAAATTCTCAGTCTTTTCTAAAAGTATGAAATCTAAATTACACTCTAGAAATAATAAACTAACATGTTTAAAATAAGCAAGAAGCAAAACTATGGCCACCTAATTGTTAACATTTTTTTAATCTGTAAAATAAAAAAGAAAAATTGATAGGAGCCAATGTTAAGCCAAATGTTGCATTTCAATCATTTCAATCACTAAAAATAAAGAAGGTAATATACGGTTTCAATAAAATGTGTTTTTGTCATTGTTAATACATTCAAATATATTTCTATAATGCAGATTTTTATCATGTATACATTCTTTACAGAATAAGAATAAGCTATCTTTAGGATAATGTGCTTTTGTTAAAATAATGAACAGGAAACCTACCATTTCTCACGTTCTGCATCATTTATAATTCTAATGGCCTCTCCAGCTTCATAATTTGCTGAATTATTTTTACATATCAGCAATTTGAATTCATACCCACCATTCTTAAATATTATTATGTTAGAGATAATTTAAATTTCTAACTTTCACAGTAAAATGTAAATATTTGTATCTAATTAGTATAATGGTGAAAGTTTGAATATAAATAATGTTTGAGACAATACAAATTATCTGAAACAGAAAACCAAAGGCAACCAATGGTCTATCCTGAATATTTTGCTTCTGATCTAATCTTTTGATTTTCTATCAGAAACATCTATTTGACTCATACTTCAGGATGCTAGAAATGGTAAATGAAATATTTTCACTGTTAACAAAAAATAGATACCACAGAGAATAACATTTCAAACCGTATATAACATATATTTTAAATAAACTGATCATTATTAATAAACACTTTAATTTCAAACCAATAGCCTTTCCAAGGAATATATTGAATATCAGTGATTAACTGGGGGAAAAAACATCGTTTTTAGGGCCGTTACTAAAATTGTGTCCCTTATTTTAAAATATCTCTCTAAGTATGACAATATCAGAACGTGGTAATTAATTCAAATAATTTACAACCAATTCCTGTAATTCTGTATGTATGCACATGGCCGTAGTTTGCATTTCGATTTGGTATGTCATTCCAAAACATAGTCTGACTTTTAAGATTTACTTCCAAATCAAGACGGAGGGGATGGATATGTTTTTCATAACGTTATTTAAAACTACTTCGTGATTAATTATCCATTTATTTGGAAACACGCCCACCAGCAAAATATGTTCGGGTGGAACGGGGTCGTTTCTGTGACCGAATTTTGAAGAGCAACATGTAACCACCATATTCTAAAGTAATATAATTCGGTCGTAAAACCTTCTACCCAAACGGAAATCCCATAGTGCGTTTCAGAGCTGCGCAGATTCTCAGACTTAGCGGCACTGCCGTTTTTGAATCACTGAGTCGGACAACTCGCCCTGCCTTTTACCTTCCCGCCTTGGTAATAATCATCTCGGTGCCGATCTCGTGGAAACGTTTCCAGAGCTCCGCGCCCTGCAGATCCACCCGAGGCACTTGTGGGGAAAGTAAAGGCGAAGCAGCCTTGGCGGAGCCTGCAGGAGTCAGAGGAGGCGACGCGCCGTTTAAGAAACTCTCTTCACACCCACCTGTAGGAATCAAAACAGAGGGGGGGGAAAGATATGAATGGGCGGTAGGGCAAATAAACGGCCTAAAAGCGCTAAACCTAACCCGAAAGGAGAGGCGACTAGGAGAGCTACCTCTACGCACCCGGGTGGGAAGAGAGAATTTTAAAAAATCCCACAGAAACCCTAACCACGAAAGTAGCGGTTTTTTTTCCCCCTACGGAAAAGGCGCCTGAAGCGTGACTCGCTTGTTCTTCACCGACTCTCCCGCGCTTCATGCGCACGTGCCTCCCTTAGAAAAGGGGCGCGTGCTTTTTGGTAGGACAACACCGCTCCTCGAGCCTAAATTCCACGCGGGTGTCCGTGAACGGGCATCAATTAGGGGGCGACGAAGCAAAGTGAAAGGCTCAGAAGAAAAAACTCGCTGGGAAAAGGCGGAAATTCATTCCCCTCCCCCACCTCGAGCGGTCCCTATGCAAAAATAGCGCGAGGCCCACCCGGGGCGACGAGATACGTTTAAAGAGCCGGCGCCTCCGTGCGATCGGTCTCGTGGTCCCTTGCAGCAAAAGGCATTGGAGGCTAACGCCAATTAGGGCTGCTTCCTGGAAATAATAAATCGCCTTCATCAGAAGCAGTCTAGTTGGTTTCACATTCACTTTTTAACGGTTATTATCGACAGCCGTCCCTTTTCCAGGGCCATTGGAATTAAAGTCAGCCTCAATTTCAGGAAAGACAGTTCGCCGTGCTGAATACTTTACATGTCTTTTAATTGCGGGCTCTTTTGGGGAATGGATTGGAAGCTGATTTTGGAGACTTCACCGCGTAGGCCTAAATCCTATTTAAAAAGCGGCAGAAAGGAAGTATTAACTGAAATCCAGAACCGCTTTCTTTCTGCACTGACTGTACCTGGGTGTATTGATTTGGAAGTAAATTGAGACAACAAAGAGCCCTTAGTATTATTTCATTTTCGGATGTATTGTAAAATACAGTTTCATGGATTTTAGGCCTCTTTATCGGATGCGCCCACAAAAACGTCATCACCAAACAAATAAGCAAAAACGCCACAATCAACTTTGTTATTTTGCATGGGTAGATTACATCGACTATTTGCCTAAACAGTTCAAACAAAGAATTTAGCAATCCAATCCAAAGTACATTTGAAGATAAATCTGTAAATTTCAATTAACTTAAATACCAAATTAATGCTTGTAAGAAAACCTGTGGTCACCTATATCTCGAAAGTATGTAATATTTTATCAATTTAAGGGGGGAGGGTAAAAACTAGTGAGATTCAGCCAGAATTGGTATCTAATATTTTGTTGCCCAAGCCCAGACTGGACTTCTGGAAGCAGCATGCATACAGAGAACCAGTTCACATATTTGAATCCCACCCCTGGTAAAAATATTACTATATATTCAGTATATTTTAATTGATTTGCATACACTGAACAGGACCATAATAAATTCAAGGTAGCTGTTGGGGGAGTTAAAAATATTAACATCTACATTTTTGAACTACTGTAGTTAACTATCAAGAGAAAATAGTTGTCATAAATAACACTTCAGTCCAATTTAAAGTGAGAAGCTGAAAAGTAGTAAGGATTATCTGGTTAAAGTGGATCCTATCCATGTTTAAGTTAATATAAATCATTTTTCCTAGTAGTGATTTAGAGTAAACTAAATTATTAGAAGAATGTCTATCCACAAAATGTAAAGATCTTGTTTTAAGTCGAACTAAATCAGGTTTGAGAATATTATATGCAACTCATTTGAGAAACCCATAAGTGAATGACCTTCCTAGACATGTCTATGGGGTGTTCAATGGAGCTTATTCCCATTTAGTTCAATGGTATTCACCACCAGATACATGTTTTGAGGACTGCAGCCTAAAATCCCTACCCCATCAGTGATGATAATATAATTCTTTCCTCCATTACGCAAAATGCTTAACTATGTAAGAATTGGTAGATTCTAAGCTTAGACAGTACAATATTAAACCTTCTGTAGCTTAGCATTCTGGGCCAAAACATCAAATTTGGTTACGTCTGCATTGTACAAATTCAAGCAAAAGGGTTTATTCAGTAACCAGGTTCATTTTTAGGGTGAAGGCAACTCTTGTGTGATTTTTAGTTCCATTTATTTCCAATTGGATTTATGCTTTTTTCCTTCTAGAGTGCAAAGCTCCTGGGGACTGAGTCCCCCTGAACTCCTTGGACTGGAGAAAGAAAGTTGCAAAGTACTGGAGCTGAAGCATACTAGTACTATATACCTACTGTGGGCTAATCGCACAGAAACCAATTCCTTCCAGAAAAACAGAACAAAATAGAATAAAAATTACACTTCACTTCTTATCATTTTACTGTGGTATTAATGCTTTACTATTATTAGTAAAGACTGAACAGGGCATTAGCAGTAGAACTTCGCCCAGTTTTTGTTTTTAAAGTCCTGCATTTTCTGCTACTTGGACTGGACTCTGTTGATGCTTCTGAAAACCGCAGGACAGCTCGGTCTGATTTATACAGGGTAAGTTGAAGGGAAAGGATAGGCCGCTGAGCCAAGTTATGACAGCCTTCTCTCCGTCCGAGAAGAGGCATCAGTCTGGGGATTGGGACCATTGGAAGTCGCGTTCTTTTGAAGGGAAAACGTCCCCATTTTTTAGTTATGACCAGGCAAGGAAAATTTGGGAGGGGGGGGGGGAGGAGGTCCTTCTTAAGTGGAGAGCGAGTTGTGTAAGCAAGAAGACGCAAGAACTTACCGGGAGCTACCTCCCGGCCGCCACAGTTCTTCGCTGCTTCAGGCGCGGCCGAGCAGGTCTCAGCGCCGGAGGGCGAAGCGGCGCTTTGCCCGGCGCCTTCTCTGGAGTCCGCGTCGCAGCTGCTCCCGTGGCCGCCGCCGCCGCCGCTACCATCGGACGGCGTCTCTTCCCCGTTGGCTCCAGCCAGCTTTCGTCGCTTCTGCGGCGGCGGCTGTTGCTGCGATTGCCGCTGCTGCTGCTGCTGCTGTTTCTCGGCTCCGATCAACGCCTCCACCGAGAACGCGTGAGCCTTGAGGCTCAGCACGGTGGAAGGCGAGGCTCTCCGCTTCTCTGCCATGTCGGACCGGCGAACTGGAACCCTCCCGTCTTCTCTCTCGCCCCCGCCGGCTGCTTTGCTTTTCCAGGCCGCGCCGCTCGCCTTGGCTTTGCTTCGCCGCTCCTTTTGCATCCACCTTCTAGCAGGCTGAAGTGGGTCGCCGAGCGTTCCCCCCTCCTCTTCCCTTTGCAAGCCCAGACGATCCCTGTATGCCAAAGCGGGGCTTCCCGTCCTCCCCTCCTCCTTCTCCCGCAAGCTCTGCCTCGTCTGAGGGGCCAAACAGCTCTGACATGGGTAACAAACGCTCTGCGGACACAAATTAGGGCTTGGAATTGAAATTTGTTGCCTTGATCTGTCAGCACTTCCAAGCAGGAGACCGGTGGGAAGAATTTGCTCATTAGCGTCAGTAGAGTGGCTGGGGCGGGGCGGAGCCCAGCGAGGAGGAGGGCTGTCAATCAAGGGGGGACTTTGGCCAATCAGAAATTAGAAATAGCCTCCCCCCCCCTCCCGTTGCTTCTTCCTTAGAGGGTACTAAAAATGCCTGATTAGAGAAGCTAGAGTGTGTACTTCTTGCGCTTCTTTGATTGGACCCTCAAAGCAAGACTTTCACTTTCAGGCTGTTAGAACCTTTCATCTTTCTCCTGACCTAAACGGCAAGCAGACAGGAGAACTGAAAACAAGTTCTTTCTCTTTCAGGGACTGGGCGACGTCCTATCTTTCCGTCAGATTCTCAGTTGTCCATCCCTAAAATGGGAATAATGCAAACAGAAATACCAATAGTTTTAAAGTAAACTTTTTTTTTACTTTACCTATAAAGTAAACTAAAGCAAACATTTCAATTCTGTATGTCATTGATAAATAGTTGAGACCAGTAAGTTTTAGTTTTGCCTGCCTGCTCAAGAAATAGAGGTTGCTGTTAATAACCTTTTCCCATAATGAGCACATAACTGAGTTCTTCTAGTAAACATCTCTCCTACAAACAATTATTTACTCGTTTCCAAAGCCAATTTATCAGTGACCTTTATGCCAGATTGATAGAGGATATCATGGTCTGTCTCTATATATGCAACATCCATCCCAAACTGGCCTGAGCTTCAAAGATTCTTGCCGGAATTCATAACTACTAACAGTGGTGATGATAAGTATATGCCATAACAAACTTTTAGAATAAGATGCCACCCAATTCTTTGTTGTTCCTCTTACAACAAAATAACATGATGCTTGCTTGGCAAACTAATAGAATGGGATTCCCATTATTTCTATAGGTATTCCTTTCATTTCAGGTCTCTAACGAAGATCAAGATATCCCAAAGCAATAGGGATGGGATGCCGCCCATGGCCTTCCAAGTCCATATTCCTCTTAAAACCATAAGGGGTAACTATGCTCCCTCTAACCTGCCTGCATTCCTGTACATGAAACTTCTGACATGCTATCTGAGCTGACTAGCTTCTTCCCACAACCTTGCAGCTGACAGTCAGCTTCAGGTACAGTACTGTGAGCAGCTGCTGCTCAAAAGCCATCTTTCTGCAGAGGAGAAAACATAAGAGGCCTCTCTGTTTGTGTATGAGAAAGAGATATATCAGGGTCCCTTTTTATTGACCTGCCCCCCAAATATGGCAATTCAAGCTGGGGAACTTTGATGTTGGGAATATCCCCCCCCCTTAAAAAATCCACAATCTTGCAGACCTGCAATACCCAAAAAGTTCTTCCTATGCAACTGTCCAGTATCTATACACTGGGACACATCCATGCTTTCCCCCACTACCTCCACCCATCACAGAAAAAAAGCCTCTGCCTCTGCCAAGATCCATACTAGGAAAGGTAAGGGACTGTTCGCTGAGCCTTCCAGGGAACTTCTGCAGCTCCCATCCCTGTCCCATGTTGGTAAGGTAGCCTTCCCCAAAGAGCCCTTCCAAGGCATGGAAGCATGAGCTTTGCCTATAAAAAGTGGCTTTCTCCAATATTGTAACCCAAGGCTGGGACTTGACTGGGGCCAGAATTGGGCTGAACCACCTGCTTGCAGAAGCTTTTAGCTGGTAATGCAGGAATCTCATCTGCAACTCAAGAGGCCAGCAGCTTTGCTCTGCAGCTGCTATCCAGAGCTGCTCCTGTACATGGAAGATCAGTTTAGCTAGCAAAGATCAGCGTTATGGAGAGGCTTCTCTACACAAAATGTAGTTTTCATTGGGTACACACAATGCTTGCATGTATTTTTTGCTCACATCACATCCATAGTGTCCCTGTTTCTGGTCCTCCCATGTATTTTCTTGCCTTGTTTGACTCCAGATAATCCAGATACACGCTGTAGAAGCAACCGGAGGCCCAAGGCAATCCAGATGCTGCTCAGAAAACATACTTCGTGCAACTACTTTTGCAGCTGGGAGGGAGCACTGATTGCTGGTGTATTTAATTGAATGATCAATATCTCCCTTCACTTCTTGGGTCTTTTGATAGCAAAGTATTCAATGATGATTTCCCAGATGGTTGAGATACATATCAAGCAAAAAAACAAAAAACAAAAAACCGCCAAATGTGCCAGATTGTAAATACTTTTGCTGAAACAAAATAATGGAGTTTTGGGTATTCACTTGAAATTGAATTCATTATGTCAGCAAATGTTCTAAAAATAAACATGGACGCCTTGTGGAACTGTTGCCAAGTTAATTTGCCTAATGAATGATGCATCCCTTGAAAGAAATTCATCATTTCCAAAACAACAAGCAAAGAAACGAAAACCATCCCTTGCTAATACTAGACGAGCTTGGCAACTTTGCTTTGCTCTGAGGGGGCTCCATATTTTGCTCAGTTTATTTATCATTAACAAAAGATTTTCACTGATATAAAGCATGAACATCAAAACTTCATCTCAACATTAATTTTATAATTTCACTCCACCCTGATCTGTTCTTTTTGGTTTTCAATAAAATATATTCTTTTTGAGGGAGTTGAAATACTGAGGTGTCATTCCAAAAAAAGCCCTTTGAAATAGGCTACCCCAGAGTAAGCAATCTAGTTGCTGATTCCAAACAACCAACCTGAATATACTCAATTTGGTTGAACTTTGAACTAAGTGCCATAATTCGAATTCTATAAATGCGAACATTTCCAGAAGAGTCGCTTGTCTTAATCTACTACAGAAAAAAAAAAAAACCAGAAGATTTAACAGCAGTTAAAATTAGCAGTTTATGATACCACAAGATATTGTAAATGTGAATATAATAGTGGTCTCTTAAAATTCATTTTATTCTGTAATGTAACTCTTCATTTGTATATTGCAATATAGTTTTGGTGCTAGTCCCTTTTGTAAATTACTGATTGATTTATTTTACTCTCTTTGAGTGAGGAATCCCTTTGCAATGTGAATTTTAAAATCAGTAACCAGGAAACGTTCATAAGTTTTATATGCCTGTTTTGCTTTTTGGCTTTTGATTTGGGGTCCTGGCAAAAAAAAAAAGTGCGTTTTCTAATACCCTGCAAAGAAGTACGTTAAAAGTTCAGAGACAGCATTGAACACCAGCACAACTCATTTGCAGCTTCAGTAGCAACAGGGGTGAGTGATGGAAATAAGAAATGCACTAGGAAAAGGAATACACTGGGGGGAAAAGCTAGAAGTTCAAATGTTTTGAAACCCATTGCTTTGGTGTTCCTTTTCCTCGTGGACAGGCTCTCTTAACCCACCTTCCTATTTTGGCAATAAGGACAAGGCAGGATATGTGTCCAAAATCAGACCAGCCAGCCCCAATCCAGATCTCTCTCTCTCTCTCTCTCTCTCTCTCTCTCTCTCTCTCTCTCTCTCTCTCTCTCTCTCTCTCTCTCTCTCTCTCTCTCTCACACACACACACACACACACACACACACACACACACCAGAAAAAGTTTCAAAGCTATTCAGAATCCCACCACAAAAAGCTAGAAAACTTTACAGAAAAGAAAGGAGGCATTAGGACGCATTCCAGTTATTCTGCCCTTCCTATCTCACACATTCGCTTAGCCTTATAGACAATCTTCTGAAGGGTCCAGCCATCCTACTCTGACCCCTTCACAGATGCTAAGGAGCCAGGTACTGAATTTAAGGAATGAGGTGACCTATCCTCAGGTGAGCTGTTGGATCCCTGCAACCCCCTTAAAAAAGAATGGGACTTTTTCTCTTTCGGAGAGGATAACTTCAAGTGAGAGGTCCTTGGTGCCCTTCTGAGCTTGGTTGTTTTCTTGCAGAGGTTTCATTATCCAAATTAGGTAATGAAACATCTGCAAGAAAACAACCAAACTCAGAGAGTACCTAGGATCCCTCATTTCAGCCCTGAGCTACAAATATCCCCTCAGTAACTTCAATGAGTTGTCCACATTCTACCTTCTTGGGTGAGAGGTGGCTGACAAGAAAGATTGTTCTTCTAATGAATTCTCAGCTGAGTTTAGTTATTCTCACAAGCCATCTGCTTACTATAGGTTTGGTTCTGAGAAAGCGAGCGCAGTTTTTTAAAAAAATAATTTAATGGCCAGAAGAATGATCATGCTTGAAATCATTGCATATGTGCAATTGATTTACTTTCCCTTATTTAAATTGTCCTCCCCCAGTTCTATATTATTTGGGGACCAAAGCATAAGATAGTGCGGAAAGAAAGAGATAGGGTTTAATCCCATTTACCTTTAAGCTTTCCCAATCTGGCATCCAAAATATTACAAATGTATTACAACTATGACTCCTATCACCCCCCAACCACTATGTCACTGAGGATAATGGACTCTGTAGTCTAAGAAGATAGCTTCAATTTAATGAAGGCTATTAGGAAGGCTGGGGATGGTAAGAAGTTAGTAGTGTAGCATATTTGAAGTACCAAGTTGGGAAAGATTACTTTGGAGTATCCAGTTCCACTTATCTTCATCTTTGCAACTTCACCATTAAGTATCTTTCAGTGTTCCTTTTGGTTCTGTTCTTTAATCTTGGAGCTTCTATGAAAAGGCAGTAGAACATGTTATGCTCAATAAATAAATAAATTTCTCAAGTAAATATGTTTCTTCAGTTTGGAAATGCCCTAGATAAGAAAAGGTAGGGCTATTAAAGAAAAATAGGGAAAAAAACTAAAATTGGAAACCTTTTGCACATGTTCTTGAAAATAAGCCTAATCCAATACAAGGAATCTTCCTGAAATATTAAGTCAGTTCTGAATGCAAAATTGTGTGAGGGTTACAAAGATTTTCTTGGTATCACCAACAAAATTCTGTTCCCCCATTTTTTATCCCTATATTTCTGGATTTCATAGGGTGCTTTGCAACTACATGTCAATATTGCTCATTGATTTTTTTCTCACTGAAGAAAGAAAAATAAGAGTTATTTTCAAGCATTGTTGTTGCCACAACTTTCTACACATGCAATGGAAGTGAATTCCAACCATTTCTAAATAAGCAAGGGTTTAGGATGCTAAAATAATGAAGATAAACAAGGAAGGATATTTGTTGGATGGATTTAAGATTGGGTCATTGTAAA